AAAACTAATTTCTTCATAGGACCAATGTCGGTCGACCAAAGAAAGTCCCAGCACGGCTTTCCAGGAAATAGGCAGTGCCCAATACAACGTGGTAGGTTCTACTGAGGCAGTTCGCATTGCCTGAGCTCCCTCGGGATAACGGCACCACACAACCTCAAAATATGCCGCTTCTCCGTGCCTCTCATGAGCATCTTTACAGAGTCAGCTAGATCTTCGAGAACGGAAAGACAGCACTCATCCAACTTCAGAGCCAAAGTAATGTCAGACGACCATGCCAATAAGTCCACGTCAGCGTAAAGCCTTTTACTACGCAGTAGCAAATGCCAGACTCCGGGTTATGGTGAGAAACCTACAAGTCGAAGTAGCCTTCTAGATGATTATCATTAGTTTTCTCAGCAGAAACAGTGGTTAGTATGCCAGACACGAATAACTAAGACTAGTTTTGAGCATCATAAAATTCACGAGGCTTTACTGTGACTTCTATGACTAACTCAAAGAAATAATCATTTGACGGAATATACATTTGTAGTAGAAATCTGACATCAGAAAATTGGAGGAAAAAAACCTAAATACATGGAGAAAGCATTTATATAACAGCAGGTTAAATAGAAATAAATATCTAGCACGTCAGTAAGAGCTTAAATTAGACCGTGATGCATTTATTATTAAGATATAATTCATGAGTTAATAGCTACTGATACAGAATTTAACGGGATATATAGGCCACTTCTAAGCAAAACCCATCGACTACCAAATTTGAATGATGCATAAAAACAGAAAATAAAATAAAGGTAGAGAGATAGTAAATAAATTTTTTTACAAATAAGTTTAAGAATATCAAACGGATACTATAAAGAAAGCGCAAAATAGTGCCCATATATTACTACCACAAACCGAGAATAAGCACGCGCACACAAATTCTAAGTCATAGATATAATTAATTGCAGATACTTTATATTTAAGGTAATGTTGGTATCTTAAGAAAAATATTTTAAAATTAAGAATTAAATAAAGTAATTACCAGGTCCTGAATTTTCCTCAAAGCAAGCTAGGTGATAAAGAAAGCTAAGTAGTGCAGTTGTGTATAGCTGGTTGACGCTTCCACCCTGGAGATCCACTTTACCATCAACTAAATCCTGCACCCAGCGCCGCGTTACGGTAGGCAAAGCGCCGTGAAAATTTGCGATACCCGTGGAATCTGCCAAACTCGACCAACTTAATAAACAGGTTTATGAAAAAAGAATGGATAAAAATATGTTTCCCGGAGGCAAAAGTATAAGCAAAAATAATACTAAACTAATTTCGCAAAATAAAAAAATTCACGTGCTTGAAAACGCACTTGATTCCGAGCCTATGAGAATTCACGATAGCAGTCATAGTACGAAGAGCACAGGCTTTTATATCCATAAAAACCCCTTCGGGCAGCTGCAAGACTTCAACAAGTTCATCCATCAGACCAGAGTAAAGATGCCTTTCATCTACTTCAAATGTGTAGCCTATAAGAGTAGAATAGGCATGTCAATAAATATATTGAAACGATTTGTGAGCATATAGAAAGACTTACAGAGGATAGATAAAGCTTGAAGTCTAGCTCTGATGCACTTATGACGATAATGGGGTTTAGCAAAGTATGTAGCCAGGCGAATACGTGAAAATAGCCTTATTTGTTGCGATGGAGGAACACAATGCTTGGATAAAATTTCTTCCATTATTTCAGCGGGACTCTGGGCTCTTTTGTGCAGAGCCATAAGGGAAATCTCGCCGATAGATGGACTGATATCGCAGCATGAATCATTTTTACTATGAGCATCTGATCTTACTTCTATTCTTTCAGGTCTATATTCGAAGAATATATTTCCAGCAGTGTGAGGGAACTAAAACATAGGTGAAAAATGCAATTACGTGATCGGGTTTGCAGCAATCAGCTAAACCGAAGCCGTTCTCTGCACCTCCCCATGTCTGCAAGTAATATTAATACAAATAAACCTACTTCTGCAATCGAAAAAAGGCGCTTTAAAATCATTTTCTTATTAACAGGGTCCATACGGATAAAATAATTGCTCCTTTTACTACAAAAAAAGTTAGGTTTAGAGGATGTTTAACCTGAAGTTATATGCAAGACCAAGCGCTGCCAAAAGAACATCCAAATTTGAGGATCCAAAGAGTGAGAGTATATGGGGCCAGGATCCATAGAGGTAGCGGTAGATGCTATGCTCGATTAAATGTCCAGTAAACTCGAGTATGGTGACAACGTCGGAAACAAGCTTTTCTTCACCCGGTAGATCAAGTCGGAGCATCCATTTGCCAACTTTGGTAACAGCAGATTCGAGAATTGAATCGAGGCGATCAAGCACGTCAGCCCAGAGACCAAGCTCACACTTGCCATAGTTCCACACCTTAATTTCCCTTAGCTCGTTGATAAGTTCATTGTCGGGACATTCAGCCAGGCGCTTAGCAAGAAGCATGCAATCGGCCTGATCATAGCCACACCTATT